GCCATCGATCTGCAAGCTTTCGGATCTGGTGAAAGTACCATTCAGTCGGCTTCGAATCAAAGAATTCTTGACACGCTTCCTCGACTTCATCAAACGAGTCGAATCGGCGGCCCTTCAGAAAGTGTTGCATTGAGCGGAAAAGGCCGTAATCTGATGGAGCACAGTCAGGACTGTAGGCTGGATGTGGTAGTACCACAACGCCGTCCAGTTCTTCAAACTTGTCTTTGGTCTTCCTGGCGGTGTGTGGCTTGGCATTGTCCTGGTACTTTTGCTTCCATTTTTCGTAGACCCGCTCCAGTTGCTGACAGTAAAGTTCGGCACTGATGGCACGACCATTCGGAACCAACTCAAAATGCATGATTCCTTCAAAGTTCCACCAAACGCACAACATGTCTTTCTTGCCGAATGGATCTTGTTTTGGAACCGACGGTGTCTCTTGCCCTTTCTGAACCCATCGCTTGTCTCGATTGTGCTGGACCAGATAGACCCATTTCTCGTCCGATGTCTCAATGCACTTCCAAAAACGCTCGTGCAATGGATTGCTGGGCAATTGACGGCAAATTTCAACTCGTCTGTTGGCTTGTGCTTCGGTGAGTTCGTGCGGATCTTGGCGCGGCTTTTTGTGAACAAAATCAAGTTGCTTCAAGTGTCGGTGAATTGTCGATTTGCCAACTCCAAGCTCATCAGACAATTCTCGATAAAGTAAAAAAACAATTAAAAATTGCATAAAAATTCAATTTTTCGCAGGTGTTTACGAACTTTTGAGACAACCTAATACATAGCTATTTTTTTATATGTTACTTAATCTAGTCGATCTAAAACTTGCTGTTTTTTTGTGGAGTACCCTGTTCTATAAATAAATATTGTTGGAATTTTTATAAAAAAATGTATTATTTGTATTTTTGTACTTTCATAGTCTTTTTTTAGCTGGGGTTCTAACAGGTAAACCTGAGGACAACAGTAATTAAGATGTGGTACCACACTCCTCAAAAAACCCACTTTCCATATCAGATGCCCTTCTGACGGATGTAGTTTATTGTTACACCCAGGACTAGTTGGATTTTTTTTTTGAGGGTGGGGTACTAAGGGGATTTGTACTAAGCAAACGCAACAACCTTCAGCCTATCAATTCCGTTTTGAAAGCTGATAACTGCTACGACACTTGCACATAAAAATTGAATATTAGTAGAATATAGTTCAGACTATTTTTTTAACATTCAGAAAGGAAACGATAAGCAGGAGTCGATGAAGAAATACTCACCGGTACTGTGTTAAGTGTAAACTTCATTGGATTTTTAAGGCCCGCAATTGATGTTCCGAATCGAATATTATCCTGATTGGTAATTTCTCCGGATTCTTTCTTTCCATATTTACAAGAATTGATATCTTGAGTTCTACAAAAAAAAAAAAAAAAAAAAAAAAAATGTATTTATACACCTTTAAACAACAAGAGAATCTATGTATAATATTATATGACTTCCGTTAGTCCGTCCGTCACACCTTCTAAAACAGCCATACAAAGACCGATCAAAACCAAATTTGGGGGAGAAATGCAAACAGGTAAGGAGGTACAAAGTACAGTTGGTTTTACAAAGGTACGTAGCTTAGTACAATAAACTTTCATTCATTTTTTTGGAAAAATTAAAAGTTTTATTATTTAACATACAAAATACTCCTCCTATTTTAAAAACAATTTAATGATTACAATAACCAATTCTAATTTAATAAAAACTCAATATTGTTTTTTGCATATCTTCTATAAGTTTTTATATATACAAAAACTAGTATCGAGTTCGCCCTGTGTTTGCGATAACAATAAACAAATGACAAGACCAGACGCTTTAAAAAGTTAGAATTTGGCTCCAGAAAGATATATTAACACATCGCCTGTTGTATGTTGCATACTCAAGAGTAAGGAATCCTAGGAATTTATTCTTCGCTGTTAAAAAGGGAAAAAAGAAATTTTCTTGAAAAATATCGTTTGCCATGAAGTTGTATAAAATTAAATTAAATTAAAGAAATTATTATTATTATTTAAAGTAAGGGTTTTGTTAAAGTATTTTTTCAAACAAATAAGCTTTTACAAATTTCATCGATTTGTTTGCGAAATTGAAGGAAACGTAGAGTTTGTAAATCTTCACAAAAATGTTAGCAATAACTTCAACAATTCTAAATAAGATTTGAACACGCGTCAGCGTGTTTCAAAAAATTCAGACAGAAATTTTCTGAAGCTTGTTTCGGAAGAAATGTTCATGAAATATGGTTGAAACTTTCGAATTTCTTAAGTCATCATCTGGTTAGGTAGAGAAAATTGGAGTGTTTAAAATTAAAAAAAAAAAAAAAGAAGCTTTTAGAAGTATGTGATGAAAGAGCGTGCAGGGCATTTTGTGATCTAAAGTTTGGAGCATATTTCCTGTACTTTTCTACCCAAATTTTCTCCTTGCCTGAGAAGGATTATTCCTAACTTGGAAAACTCGATCATCAAAATTAATCGATAGAAAATGTCTGACGTTTTTAATAGAACCCTGTATGTCCTGAAATTTAACCATAGCCGAGGGAGGAGAGAGATTCATACGTTGGACACTATTGTAAGTGGGGGTAATAGGTTGTCAAAGTAGTCCACCACTAGCAGTGGTTTACCTACTTCACGCCGCTGGCGAGTATTGTATTTTGTTGATGTTATAAAGATTACCATTTCATTTACAACCTCCGTTTTGGTTATTCCTCATTCAGCAACCATTTCTAGGTTACAACACTCCCTAATTTACTTTTTTACACGACAATAAGAGGAAATAATAAAAAAAAAAATTACAGTCTGCTTAGTATATTTTGGCCTGTTCTTTTTTTCTTTCTTTTTTCTTTAATTGTTTATTGAAAACTTTGTCAATCCTGTTCGTTGGATATTTTTTTGCCAATTACATTTAAACATGGCCAATTCATCTACATTTAATTATTTTCTTTATTTAATCAGTTATTATTTATATTTAATTTGTTTATTTTATTTCATGTTTCTGTATACTTTATTTATTTTAAACATAGGTATTTTGAAATAAGCAACCATTACCATGTGTTTGTTTATTTCTTTAATATTTTATTTTTATTTTATGTTATTTATTTTATTCTACTTTTGTACAATCTCTTCATTTTACTTTTCCGTATAATTTTAATATTAGGTTGTTGTGCAGGAAATGACGCAGGGAATAAAACGCTTCTGAAATGTTAAATAACTAATTTATTTAGTCGAAATAGCCACCATCATACCTCTAAATTCTTGACCCAATCTTTAAAAAAATTCTCAGTTTTTGATGTGATAAACAGTTCAAATGCTTCATTTACCATTATCTTCATTATTTGATAATGTTTTATTGGGTATAAAAAAGCTCAAAATGCTTAAATAAGTGATTATCAGTTGGAGAGTTATCAGGTGAATATGTAGGACGAGGCAAAATTTCATCATTCAGACTATGCAGCTTTTAGTTAATTGAAAAGCATGCAGCCATGCATTGTCTTGCAGCAAAATTGGGCCATCTCTATCACAAGTCTAGGATGTTCCTTTTTCAGTTTTTCATACATACATTCAATTTCTCCATAATACAAAGTTGCTGTTATTGTTTTCCCTTGAATCAAGAATAAATAATGAGTAACCCATTTGAAAGACCACCATACAGTAAACATTAACATTTTAGGTTGCAGTGAAAGCTTGGGGTATTGTTTTGGTGATTCATTTGCATCTAATCACTGGCCTACTCTCTTACTGTTGTCAAAGAATATCCATTTCTCATCACATGTAATGATTCAATGCAAAAATGATTCTTTTTTCAAGTTTGTACACATACAGTAAGATTATTCGACATTATTGTAATCATTTTCATTGGGCTTATGAGTAACAATATATTGAAAGAAAAATTATCTGGAAAGAAAAAGAGAATAAGTCAAGATTTTTTTTTTATATACAAAGGAGGTTACTTCGTTAGATGACCGGATCAAAAACCAATGAAAAAAATGCGTCATTTCATGTACGACGACCTAATTTTGATAGTTTGAAATAAAGTTTATTAGATTTATGCTATGGATTATTGTTTAGACTTTGATGTCGGCGACGAAGTAGATTAAATGATTCATTTTTTACGGCTTATCAACCCTTTGCAGCTGATTTAAAGACAGAAAATATTTTTAGATGGTATTATTTTCTTTTCTTTTTTTTTTTTTCATAATAATAATTTTAGCGATACAAGTTTTATTAACTAACTAATAGCTTGAGGAATAAGAGGTGGATTCATGCCTTTTTCTCAAGGGTATTTGCGCATGAGAGAATATGACAAACCCAACTGGAATTTGAACTCGGATCTCTGATTAACAATGCTAAGTTATTATCCGTTTCACCATCCCCACGTCAATCTGTAAGATACAACAACTGATATTCTCAAGCGGGCACCCATCTAAGTACTGACCAAACTCAACGTTGCTTAACTTCGGTCATCGCAGGGGAACCGATGTTTTAACGTGATATGGCCGTAAGCTTGTAACGTAGTAGAAAAGACCAAAGAATATCCCCTAAATTTAATATTTAAAAATACCCAAGTTTAGAACCGAAGAATGTGTACAGAAAAATAAATAAAATTAAATAGATTATTGTTGTAGAGTAGTTTCACAGTGGAGGCTTGTATTTCCCTAAGTCGGTCCTAAAATAGGTTCGACGTACAAAACGTTAGGAACTTGATATAATAGGCAATGACGCGGAGAAATCTAGTTGTGGTCGCTGATACTTTTAGTATCCGACTAACAGTCGTCCAACATCGACTGACTGACCCACTCCGCGACTGACTCGTTACTATTACTACTACTACTACTTATTATAGATGGGAGAGTCTATTAACTATAGATTAGGTGTATTCCACTATAACAATTATTAAAATAAGTGACTAAGTGACTAATTACGTTATATCTGATTAACGTTTTCTGTTGTTATGAAGTGGAAACATTATAGAGAATATAATTGCTAGATCTCCTGCTAGAAAAGTTGATTCGTGCTATAAAATGTTTCTCTCCAGAATCTATCTTACTCATTTATAAGCCATTGCTTTGAATACTGATGCCACATCTGGTCTCGTGCTTCTGCTATATATTTAAAGATTCAAAGAATAATCTGCAATGTTATTGGTCCTGACATGGCATCTCGGCTTCAGTCATTTTCTCCCCTCCGTAATGTAGCTTTATATATGTTCATAGTAGTTGTTCTGATAAACTTTCCTCTATGGTACCTGGACTTTATGAATTTAAGCGCAGCACTAGAGTGGCGGTGCGGTCTCATCATTTTATAGTTGAAATGATTAGATGTAACTGTAATTTCTATGTTAACAATTTCTTCATGTCTCGATTGTGGAACTCTCTTCTCTTTCCAATCTAGATTTATCTTCAAAAATTTAAATGCGATGTCAATCGTTATCTTCTGTCTTCTTAATTTCTCTTCCTTTATTGCTCTCTCACCTTAACAGTTTTTTTTTTTATATTCTTTCACACTCAGTAACATCTTAGTGACTTTATTGCTTTGCTTGCTTAAAAAAAGAAAAAAGAAGAAGAAGCAAGCTTACACTCAGAACTATAGATAATCTTAAAACATAGCCCAAAACGAAAATTGGGTAGGACTTGTTTCTAACTTTCAATAGATAGTGGCCTCCATGTGGAACTTCCTGTTCGATAAAAATGACTCAACTGATTTTTTTTACTTAAAATTTTTTTCGCCTATTGTTTTGGGGGTCAAACTAATTTTTAATCTTACTAATATATAGACCCCTTCCTGACCACCTAGTAAAAAAAGGTATTCTATTGATAATTATAATTTTGGATATAAATGAGATTTAGGGAAAAAAGTGACTTACTTATTTCCTGCAACTAGTAATCAATATAACCGAACAGCCTGTACTTTATAATGCTCCATAAGTTTTCTATGGGGTTGAGGTCAGGAGATTAGGGCGCCCATGTCTTAACACTCACCTGCTTCTCATCAAAGTATTCCTTCATCAATTTTGATTTGTGACAGGGAGTATTATCCTGCATAAAAATGAGCTTGGTGGGGTCAATTTGCACCCTTTCAGCCGAAGGGAGCAGACAAGACTCTAAAATTCTCTTGTACTGCTCGCTCCTGAGGGTCTTTACAAAAGGTTTTAAGAAACCAGTTCCATGAAAAGAAAAGCATCCCCAGAACATTATACTGAACGGATGCTTGACAGTACTTACTGCTAAATTCAAAGAGCTTTCAAAGCTTCTTCTTCGGATTTTAGATCGCTTATCCTTTGAATTTAGCTCAACTCTCGTTTCATCGGAGAAGAGAACATTTAGTAAAAAAAAAAAAAAATCAGGTAAGTCACTTTTATCGAACAGCACTGTAGTATGACTTTTTCAAGTGTATAATACCAAATTCAGTCTTTACTTGCTGGTACATATTTACGATCATTTGTCAGACTAAGCCGACCAAATGCATCCGCGCGCATGCGCGCGCACACACACACACACACACACACACGCGAGCGCCAGTGCGTACAATTCTTCATGTATTTCTGTTCGTCAACGATGAACTGACACTCACCCTGCTTGTCTGTCCAGGCAGATGTAGAAGATGTGATCACATGGCGAACCGCAAAGAATCCATCGACCATCGCAGCACTGACCATTCCTGCCCATTCCACCGTTGTTCTGGTACTCCACAAGACGAAGAGTCACGGTACCGGTTCCGGCGACCAACTAAAAGAGAGAAAAAAAAGAAATTAATTTTCTATTTCTGCTACCGCTCAGTTAGTCAGTCAGTCTATCTATCTATCTATCTATCTATCTATCTATCTATCTATCTATCTATCTATCTCGTTCTCTTCATATCTAGCTAGCTGTTTCCATTAGATAACTATGGCTATAATCCATCACAACGCCTTACGACACTACGAAATCAACTTTTAAATTTAGTACTTAGCCAAACCCACTCCCCTCACCAAAAAAAAAAAAAAAATCAGAATTTTCGTAGGAATCCCTTCTTGAATAGGTCTATAACTTTTTAAAATCCCTTAGTATGTAGCAAATCTAGGAAGATCAGTTTATTACATAACATTATAAAATGACCCCCCACTTTATATCCTGTAGAATTTTATATTAATATGGCAAGAGATTGCTGAAAAGTTGTCAGCTTGACCTACTTCTCAAAATCTGACGAAATGACCAAATATCATAATTTTATTTGGTATCCTTACTTGAAAAGGTAGAGAACTTTTCAGCATTCTTTGGTAGGTAGTAATTCTGGAAGTTTAAAGTTTACGGTAGACGATGTTAAATGTACAATCCAAGATACAATCCAAAAATACTTTTACAAACTTTTAGTCGATTCCTGACACCAATGCAAGGTAAAATATCCATATACACATATGTCCACCGTGTGGGAATATTTGAAGGGGTCCACTAGTCAATGATCCGACGGGTGTATGCGTATGTAGATTCAAGCGGAGTAATATATTTTAAGTTATGCTATATTTATGGGTAAAAGTGCTCTATAACAGATAAAAAGTGCATGGGGTACGACGATAAAGTACATCCGAGGTTTTGAGGAGCGTGGTTCCTCTAAATTATATTGTTTCGCGGTTCATCATGATCCGAGTTGGTAGCGCCTGTTAGCGTCCCAGACGTGGGCAAATAGTTAACCCCAAACTGGGGTCAAAACAATATGAAAGTATAAAGATACATTTTTATAGTCATTTTTGCTATAAAAATGTATAAAACATTTTTATAAAAATATTACTAGTTATGCATTTGACTGTCGACAAAAAACCTCTTTACAAAAAATACATCAATGAAGCCTGATCTTCAAGCTGATTTCTTACAAAGAATACCTATTATTTTCATACGAATCCACCCTAAAAATCTTGTCGGTATTAAATAACCTGTTGAGGTTTTGATATGCCGTAAAACAAAATAAAGCAAACTAGACCAAAGAGCGTATGTAAATATAAAAGTGAACACTGAAGTCAACGCGGAACGGAGACAGTCTGTTTAAACGCAATCTTCATGCCATGTCTGTTGTGTTTTGATTTGCCTATTTATATATACTTGTCAATGGTGCATTATGGGTAGTAAAATCTATTGCATTTTCCTAACGGTTACTGGGTGAGCGATAACGGTTATATTTCAAATTATTCTAAAGGCTATTGAGCAGAAATAGTCGTAGATCGGAATCTGGTTATTCGTTGCTGATTTATAGAGATTTTTGTTAACCTTTTATTCATTATTTATTATTGATTAATTAATTATTTGTTGTTGATAACAATTATTACATTTACTTGTGTTCATATCTACATTCGGAGTTTGTTAATTTGTTTATCATTTACTTAATTTATTTATAGTTTTTGTTTATTTTATCTATTTTATTTATTTATTTTCGGGGATTGGCTATCCTTTTGTCTTTGTCTAAAGTTTGTTTCATTATCAAGCATGAAGCAGACTGTCGCCACTTATTATAAGACAATCTTTTCAGTATATATAAGATATTATATATGATATGTCATAAGACATATCTTATAAGGCAGTCTCTTCAACATGGTACTTTTGAGCACTAGTCGCTTACTGGCATATCATATTGAAACACTTCGGTCATCGAAGTTAAGCAATGTCAAGTCTGCTTAGTACCTAGATGGGTGACCACTTGGGAATACTAAATGCTGCATGCTTGGATGTGCGAGTGGTATACGTAAGTACCACCACTAATTCGGAATAAATTTTCGATACCTAAGGTTTAAAATGAATTTCTAAAAATGAATAAGCATTCTTGAAGATTTCATATTAGCTTTTAAATTCGGAATAATTTTTCGATACCTAAGGTTTAAAATGAATTTCTAAAAATGAATAAGCATTCTTGAAGATTTCATTTGATTAAATTTACTATTTCCAATAAGTAAAATATCCTGATGTATTTCAAATAGAAATTATATAGATTAGAATCTCAACTTTTTGGCCGATTTCAGAAAACTTTCTTAAAAGCTGTTATTTTCTTAATTTTAAGAAATTTGTAAACAAAACAAAATTATCGCTTTTAAAAATCCTCAAAAAATAAAATATATATTTGCGACAGGTTATTTGAATAAAATTAGCAAATTTAAAATTAAATTGATCGGATTTGAAATAAACATTACTTATAGCATAAAAAAGTAATATACAATCATTTCTTAACGACGGGTCCTGTTTTTCTTTCATCTTTATTGATATATCGATAAGTTCCGAGTTGATATCAGCTAGTATGGATGATCAGAATTGACATAAATTTACGAAATCTAAGTGAAGGCATTTTTTTTTTGTTTTTAACTACTTAGTAATTTTTACAAATTAACATAATTTCAGCAATTATCTAATATTTTATTGACTTTTAGTTACGTTTGAAGATGATTTATGAAAAATAAAAACATTTAAAATACTATAAAATTTTCTTAAAATATTTTAAAATTTAATAACAGATGAAATTAAAATAACGATAAGTAAGCAAGAAA